AAAAAAAAAAAACGAGACCCAACAGACTTCAGGGACTGGAGGCTGGGGAATTGCTGTATATACTCATGTATAAGACAAGTTTTCCAGCACATTTTTAATGCAGTTTTGTGGTAAAATTAGGTGTCTCGACTGATATTCAGGTTAGCTTATACTCGAGTATATATGGTACCACCCATCCAACATAGAGACTGGAGAGAAAAAGTCTAGTTCCCAGTATAAGATAGGGCCTAGAAGGGATGTCCTGGCTTATGAAAATAAGATTAGACAAATTCTATTCATCTATCAAGAGAAGCTTTACCTTCCTTCTAAAACATGGAGTTGAAATAAAACATAGGAGAAATTTTTTTTAAATCCATCGACGTGTGTGAATATAGGTTCCATATTTTTAACTATAAGAATCCTCAAGGTGAGAAATGATCTCTAAAGTCTCCTAAAACCACAGAAAACATCCAAGGGCTCCAGCAAAGGCAAGTGAAAAAGATTACTATTATACAGATGGTCCCACATTCCAGGGCATCGCAATTCTCAGAGAAAACAACCCTGGCAATGAGGATGAATCCAAGACACAACGTTATAAACCACAGTCATCAAATACTAAGAAAACATGGCAGGATTTGCACTACAAGAATTACAAGTAATAGACATTTACCACCTTTACCCTCTAATAGTCAGATCCTCTAACTTAGGGGTCCTCAAACTGCGGCCCACCGAGGGCATTTATCCAGCCCACCAGGTGTTTTTGCCCTGTTTTGTTTACTTCAAAATAAAATATGTGCAGTGTGCATAGGAATTTGTTCATAGTTTTTTAAAAAACTACAGTCCGGCCCTCCAACGAGTCTGAGGGACCCCCTGTTTTAAAAGTTTGAGGACCCCCGCCCTAACTATTCCCACACAGGGGACTATCATGAATAGTCTTATTGTGTCTGCTATCTGTTTATATCAAAGGTCTGATTTCCCCAAACCAGAAACGCAACACATTATCAACAAGAAAAACACATTGCTTCCCAGCACTTGAACAATAACCCAAACACTGATAGAGCTGGTTTCACCTCACAGGTGATCTATAGGACAGAGTAGAAATGCCCCTGTGGGTTTTTGGAGGTAAATCTTTACAGGAGCAGAAAGTCTCATCTTTCTCCGGAAGAGTGGCTGGTGTTTTCAATCCACCAACCTTGCTGTAAGCAGCCCAACTCATAACCCACAATACCACAAGTGTTTCTTTTTCTAAACTCAAAGAGAATATTTACAATATTTGGCTATATCCTAGGTCACAAATTAAGTTAGTAAACATCACAAAGAACTGAAATGCACAGATTTGTTTTCAGCATAATAAATTTAAACAGAAATCATAATGAAGAAATATCCTTATGGAAAATGAAAATTTGAATAACCTATGATCCAAAGAGGAATGATTAATGGGAATTAAATTATATTTTGAATTAGATAATAATGAGAATACTGTATATGGGCCCTGGTCACCCTCAGATACGCTTTAGACCAGGGCTACAAACTAATTCATTCCAGTTTGACCCACTGCGGAAAATTTGCATTTCTACACCAGATGTACTGAATTAAAGTCAACATTTTAGCAAGATCTCATGTGATTGTGTAAACCTTGAACAGAAACTATTTCCTGAGGTGACCTTTCAATTAGAAAATAAACTGGCTCACAAAATAAAAGAGTATTAAACAAGTATTGTGCTCTTTTTTTAAAAAAACAAAACCATCTGTGAAACCAAATGCTCGTTAACTACTTTAAAACAAAGATGAGAGTATTAGGGTGCTGGGACACGAGATAAATGGAAACAACATCAGTAGAATGGGACTACTGAGAATGTTCTCATATTATGTAGAGCCAATACTCTTAACAATTTGTGTAGGAATTGTTGAATGGGAACCTAACTGCTTATAGTGTTCAAAACCACAATGTATTATTTTAAAAAAATACAAAACCAATGCCTCTGGAATACAACCAAAATATTAGAAGATGGTTTTAAAAAAAAAGGTCAGAAAAACAGCATAAAACTAAACTCCAGGAAAGAAATAATACACATAAATTAAAAACAAATGTATATTAAAGATAATCAGCAGTCAAAAGTTTCCTTGGTTTAGGGGAAAAATAACGGGAAAAAAACCTGATTAAGTTCTGATAAATTAGATCAAGAAAAAAAAAAAATCATTCCCCTGACAATAACTAGTGGCTTTTTCTTTCATATTCTCTTCAAAATTTCCACACCCCAAATCAGAATTTCTCCATATTCATTCAAAAGTACTCTATTTTGGATTAGAGAAGATTTAAGGACAGCGGTTCTCAACCTGTGGGTCGCGACCCCTGGGGGGGCTGTCACAAGACCCTTTCACTAGGATCGTCCAATTCATAACAGTAGCAAAATGACAGTTATGAAGTAGCAACGAACATAATTTTATTGGGGGGGGGGCTGTCACCACCACATGAGGAACTATATTAAAGGGTTGTGGCATTAGGAAGGTTGAGAAACACTGATTTAGGACCTGGAAAATTAATAGTTATCTGATTCAGCTGTTTGAACCCACTATCTGCTGCTCATGAGACAGATGAGGCTTTCTGCTCCCATAGAGGTTTACACTCAGAAACCCAAAGGGGCAGCTCTACTCTGTCTATAGGATCTCCAGGAGTCAGAATTAACTCAATGGCAGTTGAGGTGTTTTTTTTTTAATTATTCTGAATGTCAACTGCCTTCCAAAAGTTAATTTTCAACTGAGCTTCTTTAACACAAATAACCAGAATTGAGGTATATTGTAATATCTGACTCCACACCTGTCAGAAACAGTGGCTTAATGTAATGATAATCCAAAGTAGGTGAGGAATAAAAAGTAAGATCAAGTCAGGAGCCTATAATTTACAGCCAACTACAGAAAATATATTAGTTAACTATACAAAACTTCCAAGAATCTCCATCCCTTGGAAAGTTAATGTTTTAATCAAGTAACTACAGAATTGTATAATAAATAATTGCTAATATACTTACAGTGCCACCTACTATTCTTCCTAGTGGATACCACGCTCTTTCATCAAACCAATTTAAAAATTCATAGAACCCGTGAGAAGCAAGATGATGTGTCGATCTATAGTTAAACCTAGAGAAAAAGAGGGGAAAAAGAATGTTTAAAAACCGCTTAATAAGAAGACATGGCTCTATTTTCTTTGTAATTGTATTACACTGTGCATTTCTATAGCTACATATATATTTTTAAAAAATTATTTTATTGGGGGCTCATACAACTCTTAACAATCCATACATACATCAACTGTATAAGGCACATTAGTACATTTGTTACCCTCATATAATTCTCAAAACATTTGCTCTCCACGAACTACATATATTTTCATAGCAACTTTTTTCAAACTTGGTTTTTTAAAAGGCTTCATTTTGAGCATAACTAAAAATGCAACATGCCACCTCCAAAAGGAAACCCCACACCAATAAAACCAGTAATGCTAAAATTAATATTTGATCATCGCTTGGGGTCCAGGTAGGAGAGGGCTATTAATTTGGATATAAATGGTCAAGGCCCACAGAATTCATCAAATGGTGAATTACATTTGATGTAATTACATTCACCATTACAGGGTAGAACTGCCCTGTGAGTTTCCAAGAATAATAACTCTTTAAGGGAGTAGGAAGCCTCATCTTTCAAATGGCTTTGTGGCTAGTGGCTTTGAACTGCTGCTGGCTTTGCAGTCAGCAGCCCAATGCAATGCATAATCACCACACCATCAACCAGGGCTTCTCTCAAATGATACTAGCTCTGTAAACCAACAATATGACCCTAATGAATGAGAAATTACACTAATCCATGAAAGAAGACATCACAATAAACTCAAATGATATTGAGGAAACCAGTTCAAAACACAAGCAGAAGAAAATACCACATGAAGACAGTTCTAGGAATATTCCATATTTAGTATAAGGCCACTAGAGACCTGGAGAGAACCTTGAAGCAATCCTGAGATTAGCAGCAATACGAACAGACAAGGAAGGTAGTTAGCATTCTCTAGAGTTTGTCAAGCAGCCAACTGAACATCAGAGGAAGTTCCTCAAGGAGAAGTACTACACCTAGTGAGTCGAGAAGTCTATTAACAATGCTGGACACCAAGAAGGAAAGAAAATCCAACAATTCCTGAACTTTGTAGTCACAATCACTAGACTCAAGCTTTGTAGTACTTACAGTTGTATCAAAAACCAAAAATAACGCACATCCCAAAATCAAGCATTTAAGCATCATGAAAATGAATGCTAAGTCTCAAAATCAATAAATAGAACTTATACCAGAAAAGGAAATAATAATTAATATCTTCATAGAGCTAAGATAATCAGAGCATCCTAAAAGTATAACCTAAAAGTTAAGAGTGCAGGTGCTAGAATTATGCTGCCTGGATTTGATTCTTAGCTCTACATTTACTGAATATGCTTAAACCAGATTATATTCTGTGCTCGACTTTCTTCATCTGTTAAATCAGGAACAACAGTTAACTATCACACAAAGTAGCTATGCGGGGTAAAAACAAAAGCACCTCTGAAGGGCTACTATTATTATCAGCGAAATAAAGATTTAATGACAAAGAAGCTATCTAAGATTGCGAACAGCAAAAATGTAATTGTAAAAATAAATGAAATTAAAGGGAGAGTAAACAGCAGAAAGGACGACAATGGAGAGCAAAATTGAACTCAATCTTTGGGAAACAGAACACTGAAAAAATTAAGAAACCTAAAGAAAAATCTAGAAGTTCTTACAGTCTTTTAAAAAGAGCCACATCGGATTGCAACAAAACAAAAAACCTTCAAAATCATGCAGAGAAAATAGATAATCTACAAAAATAATAAATCTAATTGATCCGAGTGAGGGGTTTTCAAAAAGTTCATGGGAAAAAAAATCAACAACTAGGTAGGGATTTCAAAATATATTTTCGCACCAAAATAAACTTGCATTAACTTGTAACATACCTGAAGAGGATTTAATCTGAGGCACTAAGAAGGATAAGGCAGTAGTTTGAAAAAAAGCCCCCATCAGAGGAACATGAATTCGACTAAAATTGGAGCACGTACAAGTATCTAATTTACGTTGAAGTTTGGTGGAAGAATGGTGAAATAGTTGATGCTTTACAAAGTTTATGTGGACAATGCCTAAAAGAAATCAGCAGTTGATAAATGGATATTGTTTTAAGAAGGGATTAGGATGATAATGATGAAGCCTGCAGCAAAAGACCACCCACATCAATTATGATAGAATAATTAATTTTGTTTTTCCCCTAACTGAAGTGGAATGACAACATCACAAACAATAGCCAGTATCACAGACTTCTCAACTGATTTCACTCACAAAATTTTGATTGAAAAATTAAAGTTGAGCAAACTTTCTGCTTGATGGTTGCCAAAACTGTTAATGCACCCAGATCAGCTGGCGGCAAGATCCTGAAGAATTTCTAGGAAAAACTGTAAAAGAAGATAAAGACAAAAAGCAAAAACAAGGCAATGGCTACCAAGAAGTGAAATTGTGGGCCTCCAAGAGCAAAGGTCATGACATTATTATTTTGGGATGCTCGAGGCATTTTGCTTGCTGGCTTTCTGGAGGTTCACAGAACAGTAGCGTGCTTATTATGAGAGTGTTTAAAAAATATTAGTGCTTTCGCACATAAATGCCAGGAAACCACCAGAGGATCCTTTCTCCACCCATGCCCCTTGCTCATTCCTCTCATCAAACATGGGCAATTTTGTGAGCATTTCAATAGGAAACCATTAGGCATCCACCTTACGGTACTGGTTTAGCCCGACTTATTTTGTTTCCAAATCCTATGTCTTTAGAGAGCACCCATTTCTCTTATGTTAATACTGAAAAACAGACTGCATTGAAACAGTTAAATTCCTAAGGCCTTCAGTTCTTTAGGAACAAACTAAATGGCTGGCATCACCACTTAGTGCTTTGATCTGGATGGAGCTTATATTAGAAATAAGATTTTACACATTTTTTATTTTAATCTTTTAATTCAATTTTCCACTAACTTATAAGTCCACTGTATTTCTCAGTGGTATATCTGGATTTTACATGGCAATGGGGTAATAAATGTGATTTCCGGCTGAGGGGAATGGATTTAAACTTAGAAGTATAGGAAAAACGTAATTTGTTAGCAACAAGAAAGGTTAAGCTCTTGCCAGAAATGCTATTTACAAGAACTAAAATTAAAAGGGAAAATCTCAATGTCAAAAACAAAGAACTTATTACACATACAAAGCCAGGACCATGGAAAGGTTGCCCCTTAAGTTAAAGAGATGAAAAACACTATTTCCACCACCAAGGAAATGACAAAGCTTTTCGTTTCCTGGGAGCATGAGATGGTGCTGGAAGGAGGGCTCAGTTGGAAAAGTCCAACTACCTAATCTATGAGCCACTTATGAAGGTGAAGTTTAAAGTCATAACCTCCCTGGGTGACACAATCTGCCAAGATCAAACTACGAGACAAAAGGTTGATGGTGCAATGAGATGGGAAAGTAGAGTCAGAATGATGCCTGAAGCTCAGTTCTAAGGGAAAGAAGCTGGGGATCTGAAAAATTACTGTATATACTTGAGTATAAGCTGACCCAAGTATCAGCCGAGGCACCTAATTTTAATGTGCTGAACATCTGTAGGCAACTGGACATCCCCTTACAGAAGGGTTGCCGGGAGGAGATGAGCAAGTCAGGGTGCAGTGTAGCA